ATTGACAACTAGCAATGGGGTTGAGGACAGGTTTGTTCTGGGCCCTCCTTTTTAATTTGTTTCTTAAAGTTTAACATGTGAAGTTGCAGCCCCTATTATTCTCTGTCCCTTATTCTGTTAGTTGTTCTCTTCATGAACTTATCACCATGTGACATAATCTATTCACTTATTTGTTCAAGAGCTTCCCCAACTAAGATACCACCTCCATGACCATGAGGAATGGAGACTCTGCTCTGTTCACTGCCATGTCTCCAGCACCTACAACTCAGCTTCGCACATATTAGGTGCTCAGTAAATGTGAACTAAATGATTAAGTTATAAGTGTTTAGTTCTTTTTCTCCAGCAGGCTGGGAGCTTCTCCAAGGCAGGGGGCAAGTTTGAGTCACTGTTGGATCCCAGCACAGGGCATTGGAGGGCAGAAGTCAAATGAACTGCTAAGCAAATGGATAATCTTGAAAATGGCTAACGTTCACTGCCTACTTACGATATGCCAGGTAAGCTTCTAGAAGCTTTATATTGACTGAATCCTCTGAACAGCCCAGGAAAATAGGAAACGGGAGCCAGAGAAGCTAACTGACTGAGCAGTTACATAGACTAACTCACATCAGTACCTGCGGGGAAGCCAGATCTCACACCCAGCCGTCTGGTCCAGAAAACCCGCTGCTGAACCACTGCTCTCTACTGCTCCCTGCCTCACACGCATGAAGATTCTAAGATGTGCTGAGCCCTGTCTTCAGGCTTTATAAATAGCAATATGTTGATTTCCAGACATTCTGCCTGGAACCTACAAGAATACATTTGTAAACAACCACAATATATAGGGTGTCCAAAAAAATTTACACACTTTAACAGCTGATAATTCGTTTAATTTTCACTCCTTTTCAGGTTTAACTGATTTAAAATAATGGGTGAAGCCAGACTAAGCTTTGAACAAAAGAAATTTATCCTAAGGTGCCACTACACTGTTGTTGTTTTTTTTATGGGGATACATAAAAGATAAAATTTATGGTATAAAACCAGAAAGAGTCAATGAACTGCAGGCACACAAATACTGAATGAAATGATTCTTGATGTTCACATTATCAGCAAGTGCCTGGACCAGAATGGTCATCAGTTTGAAAACAGGCATTGACAAAAAAAATTATGCATTTCTGTAGATTCTTTTCAATTTTGTAAATGAACTGTATGTTAATAAACACTGACTTTATAATCATTCAAACTGCATACATTTTTTGGGGATACCCTATATATATATGTGTGTGTGCACATGTGTGTGAAACCAGTTTCTCAAAACAGTATGACATTTCCTTATATGGGATAAACTCTTATATCTTCTGTTCTGTTTCATCGTTTAAAATGCTGGTTGCAAGCCATGAATTTGAATTCCTAATTTCTAATGGGTCACAACCCACTACAGTAAAACACTGACTTATTTTATTAATTTTCACAATAAGGCTGTGAAGTGAGTTTTCTATTAGATGAGGAAATTGAGGCATGCGGTAAAGTCGCCTGTCCAAGACTGCACAGCCAATGACTAAGAAGCACAATGGGGCTTTGGCCCCATAACCCGTGTTCTAAATCATTGTGCTGTGCCATTTCCTGGGGAGGATGAGAGAGCAGGGAGACAGATGGGAAAAGCCCAGAAGGTCAGAGCTTGAGGGAGGGACTGAGCAGCTCACCAGTGGTATGATGAGCCACGGCCTTTGCCAACATGGTCTTCCCGCAGCCGGGTGGGCCGTACATAAGGACGCCTCGGGGAGGATCGATACCGATCTGAAATGCAGGAGTGGAGAAAGAAGGATGAGCCAGGGAATCCTGTCACTAACGTGAGACTCAGTAGGGCCTCTTCCTTCCCTGCAGTTCCTCACCTGCTTGTAGAGCTCAAAGTGTGTAAGCGGGAGCTCCACAGCCTCCCGCACCTCCTGCTTCTGGATGTCCATGCCCCCGATGTCTGCGTACATGACATCTGGCTTCTGGTCTGGGGGGAGAGCAGAGCTGGGACTCCCCGCCTGGAGCACAGGTCCTCTCAGGCCTCCCTGGCCCCAGGCCCCCCTCACCTGAAGTGAGCATCATGATACTGCTGTCCGCTTCCGGAGGCAGCACGTCCACCAGGGCGTTGCTGTGCTTGTGGAGGGCCACCGAGGCATTGGGCTTGAGCAGCTCCCGATCGATGGTGCTCAGGATGCGCACATAGTAATTGGAGCCTTGGGGGGAGGACAGAAAGGGAGGAGGGAAAAAGAGAAGTGCTACAATCAGAACTGTCCTCTCCTCATGACCTCACGGTTGTGCTGTCCAGGCCACCAGCCTCCCACTCATTCCCAGGCTGCTCCCCCACCTCCTCTAGTCTGTCCCCCATGTTCACAGACCCGGTGACCAGCAGCCTCCTGGCATCTCCCCTCCCCCCCCCCGGACTTCCCTTTATATTTCTTACCTACTGTGTCCCTATGTGTTCACATCTCCCCCCAAACTGTGCTTCTCCTGGATCTGTCTCAGGCAGGCCCCCAGTCCCTAGTCACCAGCAAAAGCCCCAAGTTTCACCCTGGACTTTTCTCCTCTTCCCTCCATAGCCCATCAGTCACTATGACCCTCTACCCATCTCTCTTCTCTCTCCCCCGAGTCCTGTCCTGTTTCAGTCCGCCCATCTAGATCTCTGTACCAGATTCTTTCCTGCTCAGACTTATCTCACCTCTCCAATCCAACCTCTCTCCTGACCTTCAGATTTGGCTGTCCAGTAGCCACCCAGCACCTCCCCGTGATATCCTAGACTGCACTCCCTGTCTCCTAAACCCACTCCTCTGACCATGTTGCCACTTCGGGGATAGCCTCACTGTCCCCCTATGTCCAAAGGTCAAAGACACATTATGGATCTCTCCCTCCCTTCACTACCTCACTATCAGCCCATCAGTCCAAGTCCAGGCCTAATCACACACTTTTCCCTACAACCTTTACAAGAATATGGCTTGGTCCAGAGTAGAGGCGAGAAGCAAAAAAGGCAGATAAGATACCGAGACAATGACCATTATGAAGGCAAGGCCCGGACCCGTGTTAATAACAGCAGCTACTGTGTACTGTGTCCTTACCAAAACCCAACCCCTTAACATTTCACCCATGGTTTCAAAGTGCAGGTCCTAACCCAGAAGTGGTCATGAAATCAATTTAGAGAGTCATGATCAGAACATGGTTTAAAATAAAAGACTAGAACAGAATGGAAAAGCAATTAGAGTATGTCACTCACTGTAAGGCTAAATATCACTTGATCAAACTTTTACTACATAAATTACATATATACAAACAGAGGAAAAGAATATAAAATCTATTTCCATTTTTGCATCAGACTCAAAATACCCTGAAAAACACCACTACACTGTCTTGCCTTGTTTTCTGTTGTACACCCTAGCACAGTTCCGGGCACAGGCCAGGAAACATTCAACAGTTGTTCAATGAACAAGACGAGTGAATGAGGGGCTCCCCACCCTCCCACACCTGTGGTGGAGCCCACGATGGCTGTATTCTGATCCACAGCCTCCAGGAACTGCCCGATAACCAGTGGGATGCTCTGGATTCGCTTCACCTCCTCCTGGGCATGGAGGAATTCCTTCTTCAGGTTCTTTTGCTCATCCTTGATGTACTCTTCCTGCACTTCCAGGAACTCCAGCTCTTGCTGCAGCTTCTGTGAGCAGAGAAGGGAGGGGAGGGGAGGCGATGGCTCTAGGCCTTGCTGGGCCAGGGAGTAGTGGAAGGTGGCGGAGTATGGGACATTGGGCCCCGTGCAGGGTCTGGATTGGGGCTGAATGTACCTTGTAGCGGCTGTACAGGTCCTCCAGGTCCTCAGGCTCAGGCCCCAGGAAGGACAGGCCAGTCTGGGGCCGTGTCACTGACAGCGCTGGGATCTCATCCTAGACCACGGTGGGAAATACAGGTTGGAAGAGTCCCCGCATGAAAACATCTGATTTAACCATGAAGTCTCTCATTCCCCAGCAGGGTCCTGACATCACTCAGCCCCTCTAAACCGAGGCTGGAAACTTCGCAGCCCCTTTGTAGGACCCTTATGTCAACTAGCCTTCCAAACAGACATTTTGCTACCATCTGCCACTTGTAACATGTCCCCAATGTCACCCAACTAGGGCCTAAATGTCTAACCGACTCCTTAGCAGACTCAGATGCCCTCCAGCCCTCCTCAACAGGTTCCTCACGTCACATGGCTCTCACACAGGCCAAGTCACCATGCCTTCAAACAGTTCGGGAATTACCCAGTTACCCCCAAAAGATCCCTCATGTCACAGCACCCCAACTCACATTCATCAGGCCCTCATGTCATCCAGCCCCCCGGGGAGGCCCCAAACGTCCGCGGGCCAGGCCACAGTTACTAATTAGCGCCCCCAGCACCAGCCAAGCCCGAACATCGGTGAGCAACCCAGCCCGGCCTCAGGCATCACCCGGCCCCACAGCCGAGCCCCCACAGCACTCCCCACCTGACCCACCCCAACCCCGCGGGCCCCGATGCCACCAGGCACTGCCAGCTAATCTCTAAGTCATTCAGTCCCAAGAACTGAGGCACTCACTCCCGCGCCTCGGTTTGACTCCCCTCCCAGCATCCCTGGGCCACCCAGGCCGCGGAGGGCACACAACTCGCCACCGAGGGCTCCGGAACCACCGCGGCCCGGCTGGGTCCCTGCAGCCGCCCAGCACCCCACTCAGGTCAGGTCGCCCCGTCCCCCCGGCCAGACCCCGCCGGACCTGAGCTTTCTCCACCAGGATGCCTATTTCCTCCATAGTGACCCAGCCCGCTGCTGTGGGGTCCGGCCTGACACAGTCACCGCTTCCGCTCCGCCACCGGAAGGGGAGGGCCTAGGCAGATTGTGGGAAACGTAGTTTAAGACGTCGACGGACGGGGTAGGACTGAGGGCAGGGAGGGCCCGCCTTGGGCTCCGCCCCCGCCCTAGGCTCCGCCCCTCGCGCTGGGCTCCGCCCTCCGCCCTGGGCTCCGCCCCCCGCGCTCGCGCGCTCTCGGGACCTCGGGCGCTGGCCTGTGGTCCGGGGCGGCGGCGCGGCGTCCTTGCCGCTCTTCTGGTGGGAGAGCTTCTCTGCCATCTTCCCGGGGGGTTGGTGGCGGGGCTGGTGAGACCGGGGCTGCTTTCAGGGAGCTCCAAGGGGGCTGGCGGGGGGATTGTCCCCGGAGAGGCGAGGCCTGGTTAGCGTTAGCAGTGAATCGAGCGTGACCCAGGCGCGGGCGGCTGGGGGAAATGGGGCAGCGGTGCCAGGGGTTGGGTGGCACAGGTGTTAAAATGGGAAGGAAGGAGGGAGGAAAAGAGGAAGCAAGGGTCCAAAATGGAGTCACCATGCCCTTGAGCAGCTCCCGATCGGGATGTGCTAGACCAGTGGTCGGCAAACGGCGGCTCGCGAGCCACATGCGGCTCTTTGGCCCCTTGAGTGTGGCTTTTCCATAAAATACCACGTGCGGGCGCGCACATACAGTGCGATTGAAACTTCGTGGCCCATGCGCAGAAGTCGGTTTTTGGCCTGGGCGAGTCTATTTTGAAGAAGTGGCGTTAGAAGAAGTGGGGGTACGTTGGCTGAGGTGGACCCCTCAGACTGAGGACGTTTTTAGCAAAGGCCAGCTTAGGAGTACCCTAATTAAGTTAATAACAATGTACCTACCTATATAGTTTAAGTTTAAAAAATTTGGCTCTCAAAAGAAATTTCAATCGTTGTACTGTTGATATTTGGCTCTGTTGACTAATGCTTTTGCCGACCACTGTGCTAGACCAATCACCAAGCCAAAACGTAGCTAACCTCATTGCAGTTTTAGCCTCTCCCAGGAGTGGGATTTTAAACCAGCCTAGTTTCCCGATCCACACGACAGAGGTATCTCCCTGAGACCCCTGCCTTCCTCCAAACGGGAAGGTATCCTGGCCTGGAATAGTCCGCTCTTGTAACTTCTTAGTCCCTCACCCGAGTGCCCTTCTAGTTGCTAGATGGGATGCTGCCCAATTCACACATCGCTAATAAAGCCAATTAGATAAACAAATTTATCTGGGTTGAGTTTTGTTCTTCACCATGGGAACTGCAGCCCTGTGCCAGGCCCTGTACTTAGTATTATTGTTAGGGGCAAAGATAGAATATTGAGGACTAGCTATGGCTATGGGAAATACTATCATGCCATTAACCATGATTGCCTTGTGTTGTTTTAAAAAAGGACATTCTGACCTGGCTAGGAGTTGTACGCCCCCAGGACCTGGGAGTCAACCTTGGACCTGGGAATCAACCTTGGAACCATTCTCATTGAAGAACTGCCTATTATGGAAAAATTAACTTGTTGCCCAAACAATGGAGTCCCACCCCAGCCTGCATAGCCTACTTCCCCATGCCTGTAATCCCTACTTTCCCCATGTAATCTTTGTCTTACCCCATATAAGCAATTGGTTTATGGGGGGCTGCAGAGCAGATTTTTGTGGATGACCTGCTGCTCTCCCATACTGCCGGCAGTATTGGAAGAAACGCGCATATATGATTCAACCCTGTCTCTGCTTAATTGGCTCAAGTAGTGACAGGCAACACGGACCCATTGATTGTCCCGTTATATTATGAGCATCAACTAATTGAATCTTGACGTTGTTTCCTGTTTTACAAAGAAGGAAACAGACTTAGAGCCATGAAGCCAGTCACAAGGGCCCCAGATCTGTCCCCAAAGCCTGTGCTTCTGGTTCCAGGGATACACTGCTGCTGTCACACCAGCTACAGTTATTGTTAAGTCCAGGTATACCTGTGAGATACTGTGGGTTTGGCTCTAGACCACCACAATAAAGCAAATATCGAAATAAAGCAAGTAGCATGAATTTTTTGGTTTCCCAGTACCTATAAAAGTTATATTAAAATTATACTGTAGTCATAAGTGTACAATAATAGCATTGTGTCTAAGAAATGTACATACATAATTAAAACAATATTACTAAAAATGCTAATCATCTTTTTGCTGGTGGAGGTCTTGCCTCCATGTTAATGGCTGATACTGATCAGGGTGTTGGTTGCTGAAGGTTGGGGTGGCTGTGGCAATTTCTTAAAATAAGACGACAATGCAGTTTGCCACATCAGTGACTCTTCACAGATGATTTCTCTGTCGCATGCCATATTCTGTGGTAGTATTTTACCAACAGTAGAACTTTCAAAATTGGAGCCAATCCTGTCACTGTTTTATCAACTAAATTTATACAATATTCTAAATCCTTTGTTGTCATTTCAATAATTCTCATCTTCACCAGCGGTAGACATGTGACTTTTCCTTTCACTTTGTGGACGAAAGGGGCCACATGCTGACCTGACAAGCTCAGGAGAGGCCTGCATGGCATTCTTGCAAACTCGGAGACCTAAAGTAACCAGAAAGGATGGTCTGAAATTAAACTCTAACTAAAGCAGTTATGGTGGGCAGTTACGTCCTAGGCCAGTATCTTCACTGACAGGGTCAACCTTTACCCTAACTGAGCCTATCTGTCTTTTTGCATCTATGATAACATACCCTTGAAATGTCTGGGTAACTTGTGACTTCCCTGTATCTGGAGCCCCTGGGGCACAACCAAATGTGCTGGGCCCCAGGACAGATACCACAAATTCCTTCATCATCATGTTAATTGATCCTGCACCCACCTAAGTATGTGTCCATCATTTTACTTTTATCTAATCCCAGAGGTTTCCCCGCTTCGCTTAATCCCACCTCCTTAATCTGTCACCAATGAATTTCATGTAACCCACCTATGTTCCTCCTTTGATTGGAATGTATAAATACGGATGTAACCCCGCCATTCTCCGGAGCACTATCTCAATTTGTTGAGGTTCTGCTTCCTGCATATGTCGACAGTTTGGCTCAAACTCACCAAAAATTCTTTACAGGTTTCAATGGTTATTTTACGTTAACAGCTTAAACATTTAGAAGCTATTGTACAGTTATTAATTGGCCTAATTTTAATATTGTTGCATCAGGGAATAGGGAGGTTCAAGGACAGAGAGAGGTAGGGGAACAGCTGGTCAGTGAAGCAATCAGAACATACACAGCATTTATCAGAACACACACATTTATCACTTGAGTTCACCATCTATATGGGTGCAGTTAATGGTGCCTCCAAACAATTACAATACTAGTGTCAAAAATCGCTGATTACAGATTACCATAACAAATATAATAATAATGAAAAAGTTTGAAATATCGAGAGAATTACCAAAATGTGACAGACACACAAGTGAGCAAATGCTGTTGGAGAAATGGTGCTGATTGACTTGCTCCAGGAAAGGTTGCCACAACTTAAAAAAGCAATATCTGTGAGACACAGTAAAACAAAGCACAATAAAGATGAGGTGTACCTGTAAACTTTTTATTGAAGTATAAATACAGAGACATGTACAATTTGTAGTTTAAAGTTCAATGATTTACACAAGGTGAATACACCTGTACAACCAGTACTCATCAAGACACCAAACATTAGCAGCCCCCAGAATTCCTGCACATGCTCTCTTTCTGCCACCCATCCCCTCTGAAAGTTATCACTTATCTGATTTCTAATGGCGTGGATTACTTCGGTCTGTTTTGAACTCCCTATGGGCCCTATAGTGTGTATTTGGCTTCCTTTACTTACCATTATGATTCCAAAATTCATATTGTGTATAGGAGTAGTTCATTCATTTTCATTTATGTCTGGTTTCTATACAAAATATGCCTAAAATGGAATAGTTTCCAGTTTGGGGTTATTCTGGTGCTATAAATATTTTAGTACGTTTCTTTGATGAACATATGGGAATATATTCAAGAATGGGATTGCTGGTCATAAGGCAGGTATGTGTTTAGCTTTAGTGGATGCTGGCAAACTATACTAACTGCCACTTGTGCATACATTTAATATTGTCTGTCTTAAAACTTTTTTTCCATTCCGGTGGATGTATTGTGAGTTGTCACACCAAACACCATTTACTTCTAGCCAGGCAATTTCCAAACCATGATTTCTGAATTCTTAAAACACTCAGAAGTAAGTATGCTTTTCCTTATTTTTCAGATAAGGAAATTAAGGCTCAGACAGAGGAAAATAATTTCTACTAAGTCAGAAAGAAAATTGGTGGCTCCTACTCAGTGCCAGCCCTATCTGAGGGAACTCAAAGATTCATCAGATCTGATTCCTGCCTTCATTGTTTAAGGTCCTAGTATTTTATTTCCACAGAAAATGAAAACAACAATGAAAACAAGTGCTTCCTTTTTTTCTCTGCATTAAGAACTCTTGTTTTTGCATTGAGAGCTCTTAGTTCTGTCTTCCAGGTCTCTACCCAAAAGGCATCTCAGATTTCTACTTCAGGTTTAGACCTATCACTTCAAATGGAATCCATCATTTTCCTCCTTGCCTCCCATTCCTCCTCTTCCCAGTTTCCAGGCATCAGATTCAAATCTATGTGAGAGGTTTGCCTTTATTGCAACCAAGCCCAGTCGAATCATCACTAAGTTCTCTTTCCCCCCTTTGGCAATGACAAATCAATGTATCCCTCTGGACTTTTTATGAAAATAATAATAAATAACCATTTCCTAAACACTGACTATATACCTGGTTCATCATCTAATTTAATGAAACCACCTTAGGAAGTGGATAGTAAAAGTAATCAACATTTATACAGAGACCTAACCTTATGACAGGGCATCCTAACTTAATCTGAGATTTAAGTGGGATTTGAAGAGGGAAATCTTGTTTTCCTACTTTTCAGTCCTACATGAGAAGTGAGGCTCAGAGAGGCATAGTCACTTGCCCAAGATCATGCAGCAAGTAAATGATGGAGCTTTTATTCAAATCCAGAGCCTGAGCTCTTAACCTCATGTAATAGTTATTATTTAGATTTGATGATCTTTGACAGGTAAGCTAGTCATTCTCAAGGAAGTGGATATCAAATCACTTAGGGAGTTTTATCAAGTTAGACCCATCTTTAACTGCACCCTATCATTTTGACCTTCCCTCCCAACCTTCAGTTAAGAACTAGCCATATAGGTCACTTAACAGATAGGTATTTAATTACATGGTCATTTAACTAGAGCCAGGACCAGCCCAGTTGAATATGTTTATCTCTCCTGATTTAAGCTCAGGGCTTTCTCGTCAACTACTCTGACTTCCAAAAGAAGCCCCATGTAGCTAGCTCTTGTCCGATGCAGCTCTCGTTTTGAGTGAGGGTGTTCTCAAATCTCGATCTTAAGAACCCTGAGTGAGGCTGAGTGCATACAGAAGCTGCTAGCAGACAAGTAACTAAAGCCAACTGGGCTGACAGAGAACCTATTCCTTAAGTCTAGAGAGGAGCTCAACTCCAGCCATGACAGCCATACCAGAATGTAGGCCCATTGTTGCCCCATCTGATGTTCAAGAGAAGTAAAAAATCCAGACTTTCAAGTGAAATCTTCTCATTAATGTTGACAATAAATTCAAATACTTAAAAACACCATGTAGGCCAAACAAAATCCCAAGAAACTAGAAACCCCAATCAGAAAGGATATATACACCCCTATGTTCATAGCAGCACAATTTACAATAGCTAAGATTTGGAAACAGCCTAAGTGCCCATCAATAAATGAGTGGATTAAAAAACTTTGGTACATCTACACAATGGAATACTGTGCTGCTGTAAAAAGGAAGGAACTCCTACTATTTGCAACAGCATGGATGGACCTGGAGAGCATTATGCTAAGCGAAATAAGTCAGTCAGAGAAAGATAAATATCACATGATCTCACTCATTTGTGGAATATAATGAACAACATAAACTAATAAACAAAACAGATCCAGAGACAGAGAAGCATCAATCAGACCATCAAACCTCAGAGGGAAGGTAGGGGAGGGTGGGGGTAAGGGGGAGAGATCAACCAAAGGACTTGTATACATGCATATAAGCCTAACCAATGGACACAGACACCAGGGGAGTGAGGGCATGAACATGGGTGTGTGTGTGGGGGCAATGGGGGGATAAGAACACATATGTAATACCTTAATCAATAAAGAAAATTTTAAAAAGAGGGAATTAAACTTACCATTCATAAACATTATGACTGTGTTTGTTTGAGAATCCAAAAGAAAGTATAACTAAATTATTAAAATAATAAGTGGTGACTTCTGGTTCCAGACAAGATGGCAGAGACTCATTTCTTCCTCCCCCTCTCTTCTAAATACCAAAAAATTCTAAAAATATTACAACAGACATTTATAAGAGGACTCCGGAAAGGTAGAAAGAAGGAGGCACACTGGCCAGGGAGCTTAAGGTTAGGAGTAACACAGTGAACAAGCATCTCTCAACTCCAAACTCAGTGATAGGAGGTGACCCAGGCCCAGTGGCTTCCTAGCCTCCATCCAGCAGCAGAAGGCATCAAAGTAGGTGCTTTTCTTCCCCATGAGGGACACCAGCACAGATTCAGCAGGAGCCCCGTGGACACAAAGCAGTACCAGAAAGTTCTCCCCACCCCTTCATGCCAGTGTCTCCAAACTGGCAGCACCAGATGAGGCCCCCAAATGCCTTTGGCTTCCATTGGTGTTACCAATAGGAATTGGGAGCAAGCCCAACCAGCTCTGGGCAAATTTGGCAGACAGGAACAACACTGCAAGGGCTCTGGAAACTAAATTGTTATTGGAACCACAGCACGCAAACCTGCTTGCTCAACCTAAACAGGGCGACTGCCTGCTAAATGGAAGAGTTAAGTAGGACCCAACATCTCCTATCCTAATATCTAAAATTGCCACCCAACTCAAGGGGTTCACTGTTCAAAAATGAGACATGGTTGTCACAGGTAGTTTCATTTACTTTCAATAAGTAAAGGAGACAGGATTCACATCCAGCAGGGAGGCTTAGCCATTGCTTATATACACTATTTGGTCAATTACTTGATTTTTTTCTTGGCAGCTGGCTACATTTATCCAGTTGAGTTACTATCAGTGTAGCCTGTGTAGAGCTGGTCT